TTGATCTTCACTTAACCCTCACCCCTAAAGCCTGACCTCTGACTCGCCAGCAGGCTGGAAGGTTTTATGAGGTCAAAGGTGCCAAAAGAACAAATTATCGACAACAACGACTTGTTGTTTTTTTTACAGACTGAATAAATGAGATGTAATGTCTTTATTTGTGACCTTTGAGGTACTGGTAGGCTAGCGATATCCCCTTGTTTCCAGTCTTTGTGCTAAGCTAAAGTATGAAAAAAGTGTATTTCCCCAAAAATGTTGAACTATTTCTTCAATAAAAAAAGAGTATCGATTGGATCTCATAGCTGTTGGCTGTGTGATAAGAAACCCAGATCATCATCTGCATACAGCTGCACTATGAATCACTCACGGGCCGTCTGAGGCCGCTCCACCTGTAGCTGTACTGCACCGAGCCAAATTCAATCAGGCACCCGGGGAGCTGTGTTGAAACACACATACCACAATTCCTGCACGTCTTCACAACAATGTCCAATAAGAGTTGGAGGAGAGAGCATTATCTTCAATCCCATGGCCTGCTAATGTTCTCCCATCGCCTTATCAAAGACTCCGTCATACCCGACATATCGAATGGGTGGGAAAGCTGAAAAGTATTCCCCAACTGGGATGGATGCTTGAGCGATTTGAACGACTTAAATGAACAATATTGACAAAAGCTTTTAATTATTTGAATACTGCATTAGTACAATAAGAATCGACAACAACGCTGTTTCTTCTGTTTTATTTGTGCTCTGCAATTGTCCCCTGACTCTCCCAGCTGTGATGTTCTTTTGAAATACTGTGTTGCTTTGTGGAAGCCAGAGAGAGAGAGAGAGAAGCAGTGTTTTGAGCAGGCTCCCTGCTGTCCGATCACTCTGTTTAATTAGTTCTCCGACACAGCAAGGTATCCCACTCCCTGACTAATGCATCCCACCGCCCTCCCTCCACCCATCCATCTATTTATCCATCAATCCCTCCAACTCCCTCGCTGGCACCGTCTCTCTTCTTTATACACACCACATTTGCCACATTAGAATTAAAGGGCTGCAGAGATGATCATGACCTGTTTGTAGACATTGTGGTTTCAACAAATGAACTGTTAACTCCTCAGAAGTTGTATTATCATAACCGTAAGATCCAGACCGTGCAGGGCGGTGTCAGTTAAATGACCAGAGCAAGAAAACTGCAAAATCACCCCGCTCCAGACACGCATGACACTAGCTGACAGTCCATGACTTCACCCTGTTTGTGGCTGCAGCTCATAAATCATCTCCCAGCATGCATGTCTCACATCTGGAGTGTTTTTTAGCTTTCAGTCTGTGTTTTATTCCTGACAGTGATTTGTCTAATAAGAAACTGAATTTTCCACATCAACATATCGTGTCAGAGGATCTGCAAAGAGAAGAATGTGCCCTGTGTGAGCTGTTGCTGATTTTTGCCAATGGAATGTTTTTAATGGTGTTGCCGAAGCGTTTGATGCCTGAGACCCAGATCTTGAATTATTTTGCCATAATATCCGGGGAGACGTCGGCAAGTTATACCACAAGTCATCCGAGTGGCAGACAGGGGAAAATCATTTCATCAATGGATAAGGTATTGAGTTGTTTCATTTGGTGCAGAAAAGCAAAGTGCGTGTGTGTATGCGACACATTGTGAAGTCTCATCGGTCCCTCTCTGCCAGCAGACTGAGACTTGAAGCATGAAAATATGTCTGACAGCTGGGGGAGGAAAAACACATGCAGCTGATAAGATTGAGTTAAAACAACTGGGTGTTCAGCTGGAGGTGATCACAGAATAGTTCTACCAAGAAAGACGCATTCCAGCTTTGACAAGACTCAGCTCCAATTAAGCCGCCTCAAACGCAAACACACCCAAATAAAAGCACAGGGAGAAAAAAAACACCCAAATCAAATTATAAATGCAACGTTCATTGATGTTTGTGTCTGGCAGCGGCCCACGTCTTGTGTCAGCGTAACAAAAATATATTGCAATGAGTTCATGTTGTGTACAGGACAGAGAGTAAGAGTATTACCACTCATGCATTTTGTGCTATTACTTTAAGTCCAGTCGTATCCAATAATCCTCACAACATCTGCACAAATCAATGGAAAATAACAAAACCGTGACTGATAAAATGAGTGAGGCTCATACAGGGAATAACATTTGGAAATGCTGCCACCTAGTGGGCGTGTTTATGTGATAATTAAGAATATTTACACAGAGATAACGTCCAGCTGGCACATTACTGATGGAAACAGGCAGTTTTAATGGTCTCCCTGGAGAGAAAAGACATTGTTAATTATGTTTTTAAAGTAAGAATGAAGATGGAATCCATATAATGCTTTTCAGGTAACTGTCATTCAGCTCTAATGTTTTCTGCTGATTGGGTTATTATAAAATAAAGTTGTATGAGGGAGAGATTTTTGTAATCTTACTTGCAGAGTTTAGCAGAGGAGACAAAGTCCTTTGTTTGAAAGCAAAATGTTATGTATAAAAAGTGATGTTGTTGGGGGGAGATGCACAAGCTATACCCAGCTGTATGTAAAGTTATTACAATTAGCCCCACCTTTACCAGCTGCAGCATGTAGACTTTAAACTTTAAGCTCATCGAGTTTCAGATGGAGAACTCCAAGACAGCAGTTCTGTTTGCAGCCACTTGGTGCTGCTCTCTCAACATGCATTATGCCGCTGCGGGTGATGCATGACATTAGATGGATAATACGCTAAATGGATAAACTGTCCACACTCATATTTCATGTATACTGACAAGTCAATAACCCTGATAAAAGCCTCATTTTTTCTTATTAAATCTGCGCCACAATCACAGAAGAGGAGATGGCGATAAAGAGAGTCAATGCAGTTAGTGAGTCATTTTAAAACTTTCCGACAATTAAGGTACTTTATGCCAGAAGCGAATAACGATACCATCCAAAACTACGCTGCATTACAATGTGGGAATTGTCACAAGTAACACAGAGGTTGTAAGTGTGGGAATGCCTTAATGGAACTGTCAGGGTCGACACTGGGAGCACAATCCTGAGCTTAACTGGTTTCTTCAATATCCCGGCTTCTTTACGCTCTGTCAAGTATTGCCCGGAAACATCCCGAAACTCATCATCATCATCATCATTAGAGCCTGCAGGGAGGGAAGGCGGATCCTGAAACTCCACACCACAGTCTTCACCTCCTCATCAATCAGTCCTGAATGAATGCTGACATGCTGAGAAACAAAACAATAAGCCTGTGATCATCATATACAATTTCAGAAATTAAGTGCTTAATTTCAGAGGACATTCAGCTCCGGTGGCAGGAAATGACAAACAACGGGAGACCAACATTTCCAATGCTTGAATTGAACCAAAACACAAAATGTAAGCAAATGCAAAACCAATTGACTCAAGGAGGGAAAACATATACACATATATATGTTTTCTTTCCACTCCAAGATGAGAGAACTGCACGAAAGCCTTTTACGGAAAGTACCTATTTCCGAAAATGAGTGAGGGAAATGGGTAGCTTTGAGGCAAACATTTTTCAGTTTGCTCAAATGAGCAATCAGGGGTATTGATGTACACAGACTCCTCAGTACAAATCTGTGCTTTTCATTCAAAGGGCTTTTACTGGCAAATCAAATGAGCTGAGCAGCCTTTTATAGACGGGGCGAAGCATCTAATGCCGTCTCAAGTCATTTGTTGACATCAGACATGCACACAGTCGGCACGGAGTTGTCTAACTAATGTGCTGCACGTAGTTTGATTTAGCATATATTAAAAGTATAATCAGAAAAGTCAGGATGCAAACTACGGGTCCTCTACAAATGTGGCACTGTTTGCAAAATAGTCCTTCTTTTGTGACGTATTTCTAACCGGCACAGCGCCCAAGTGCTGTTTCGATGGCGAGGAAGTTTATTGGCTCTCACTACGACACACTTGATTAATGAGGCCATTCTGTGGCTTGCTCAAAGACAAGGAGCACAGATGCTTTACTGCTTTTATTTCATTTCCACATAATGAACAAATAACGTAGGATTAAACAGAATGCATTACAGTTCCAGTCAGAAGAGAACTGAACATTAATGAGCAGGGTGGAGGAATACAATTGACAAAGCAATAAAATCAGAGTCTCCGAGTGGACTTTGCGACTGTTTCCTGTCTTCATCTCTACTTTTAAACTGTCCAATAGAGGCAACATGACCAAAAACAGCCACTAAACCAAGTTAGCTAGAAGCATGTAGATGGACTTTACATAAAAGATACGTATTATCTTGAATGGTTTCTCTCTGATTAAACCTTTAGAGAATTCTTTTTTTTTTTACAATGTCAGATATTCTAGTCTCATCAACAAAAATGCATTGTACTGTATCAATATACTCTATTGTTCAGGCTGAATCAAGCAAATACTTTAAACTCTGCATGTTTGGCCCACTAGATATTGAGAGGATATAGCTCTGCTTCAAAGTAGAATACGATTTGTGAGCGTCAAGTGTCGAGTAAATGTACCGCATGTAGTCATTCTTCACACATAAACCTGCACCGCAATGCTCGGACTGCACATTTGGGTATTGGGACAGATGCACTTGGTATTTAGAGTGTGCTGCTGCTGGTGCTATTGTCCCATAAAGCATTGCATTAAGGGACTGGAGGAGATGCTGCAAAACAATAAAGAAAAAGGATGAAATCTCTGGGAAATAATATCTTTGGAAGTTAAAGTTTGACTTGCAGCTAATGTGTTGCATCATTTGTCAGTACAAAAACAGTAAAGTGCATTTACTTCTTGAATTTGAAAGTTCATTTTTGTTAGCGGAAGCACAAACTCAAAATCCACTAACTAGCCTTTTCCACCGACAGTTGATTGAAGTTATTTCTATAACAATTAGTACATACTGTAAAGAGTTATCATGTAGGGTCTGTATAAAACTGAGACACAGTTTGAGTCAGTACATCGTGTATAGGTGACTTTGAACAAGTGAAATCACCACAAACTAAACTACATCTTCCGAGTCCTCCTCAAGAGGGTCCGAGGTCCTTCTGAAGGGCTCTGAACAGCTGTATCACGGCGTCCGTCCACACCTCCCTCTGCTGCTGGCTGCTGGCTCGAGGCAGCGTCTGAGCGGCGTACACCAGGGTCAGCACCGTCCTCTCAAAGTCCTGCCAGCTCAGAGGTTGCCGGCGCCGGGCGAGCTCCGCGGTCAGGCGGCGAATGTCTGAGAGCCTCTTGGGCAAGACGTCCTCACAGATGACCTCCAGCTTCTCCACGCTCCTGAGGGAGGCCAGCTCCTCATCTGCAATCAACATGTCGTGCTCCCCACCTTGGATTTGCAATCCAGCGAGCAGGATCTGGAAGAGTCCATCCAGAGAAAAATACTCAGGAACTATCTACTTACACAACTAATCAAATAAATAAATAAATAACTTGTTTGTTAGGTACCTCCAATCTCCCAAATAAACCATTTATTGACCTCTTTTTGAGGTGAACTAAAGACGTCACAAGATTTCAATACATAGTCCTGTCATCAATGTCAGGAAAACCTTGGCTCAACACATACTTCACATCTCTGCACATGATTAGCAGAGGGAGATGGCCCACAAATATGGGACTTGGACAGATCTTTTGCACATTCTCAACATATTTAAAGTGCTTTCCAGCGGCGAAGCCCTGAGCTATTAACTATATCAGCACCTCTAAAGCCACAGGATCTAGACTGACCTCAAAAAGCAGGTCGACATCCTCCTTCGAGCGCTGGAACGTGGGGTTGATCAGCGAGTACGCCCCACGCTTTATCCTATACGCGGACGGATACAGAGCTAGAACACATAAGTACAGGAAATTGGATTAGAGGATCTCCCTCGCATTCATGAAATTAGGCACCACGTTATCCAACGTGGCATGCGTGTGGGTGGGCCAGAGGTTGAGAAAACACAGCTACATTACTGCTCAAATATTATGCAAGTGAGATAGATCTGGCCCCAGCTGGGCAGAGGGTAATCGGTCTTTAACCCGAGCAGTAGATGCTCCTACATTTACAAGTGGCAGTTGCATCCAGAGGTGAGATATCCCCGCTCAGGTGTTGCCAGCCTCACTTGGTCAGATTTTAAAGTGTCCGTCCGTATGTGAAGCAGACCAGAGGCCCCATAATCTGAGCTGTGCAGACAGAGCTGGAATGAAACCTGTTGCTGCGGCCAAATCTCTATCATCAAATACCATAAAATCCATATTTTACTGACGGTGATAACCAGAGGCCATTCCACATGGTGACACACCTCTTATCCAGAAAGTACAGTAACTAAGTAGCCTACATTTACTCAAGTACTTCAAGTTCAACTTCATGCTCTGCGATGGTCTGGTGGCTTTGAAGAGAGCACAGATAATGGCTTCGCTTCCCTCTTGAAAGGGGAAATATAGCTTACACTAAACCTGATATCAATTATTTAAAGGCTGAAATACGTTTTTCTGATGCTCCAGTTAGACAGCCCTTTCTGGTGAGGAAATAAAGTTGTTTTATAGCTTTGTTCAAAGCCAAAAGACTCCATTGACAAAAACAGTAAGTTCTCCTTGCAGAACACAGGAGAGTACATAGGCTACAACCCCACGTCTACTAACCCTTTTGGTTATATGTTGACTAAACTAGTGCTAGCGTTCGCATTATTCAAAACCTTATTGATTAGCTTACTTTGGTAACCTAACGTCTAAGTAACTAACTAATAACCCAAGAAAAGAACGCAGCTGGATCGTCTCTTTAAAGGATTTAACTACACCATGTCCTTTTATTCTAGTAGCATTGTCTCTGTAAACAATAGACATTTGGTACTTTCTTTTTATGAAGGCTTATTTTAAACTCTGAAAAAAACAAACTAAAGTTGGACTTATTTTAAACTATTTTTTGTGTTTTGTTTTCTCTAAATTCATATTTGTTCACGAGGAATGATTCATGGCCTGGCCTGGTCGTATAGCACCATGTTTGCGTTCTCATTTGAACAGCCCTGTGTGATATTGAGCAGATAGTCTCGCTGGTAATGGAAAGTATTTTGGAGGTCAAGCCCGAAATAAGGCATGACTAAGAAAGCAGAGGGGTCACACAAGGATGCAAAGTAGCCCCGCGCACATTTTCCCCTTCCATACTGTTAATAATACGACTACTACTGCTGCCCAGATGCCTACAATATGTTCCTATTATGACTCCATCCATTGTGTGAGACTCCACCACAAATTTGATGAGAGTGCTTCAGGAGGGGGAAGTGAAAAGCAAAGTTGATTAAAGCTGAAAGGGGATTCACAGCTAAATGAAGTAAGTTAAACCTGCTTTCGAGCTTCTCCACACAGACTCTTTTCCCCCGGCATTGAATATGCCGTTGCCACTTGGCTCAGCGTGTAAGCCAACACGCAGATCACACACACATATCTTAATGGAGGTACACAATATGACGAACACTGGGCTTGAATTTGGATTCAATCCACCTCCTACCCTACAGCAGCATCTATAGTGTGCCGCTTCGCCAATTCTGCAGTAATGATCGGCCCCGCTGCCCGGAGCCGCATCGGCCAGACGCATTTAGGCTTTTATAGCATTTGTGAGGCGAGCCAAAGCCACATGCGCTGGCTGATCTCCCCGTGTACCTGCTTCCTGCTTGGGTGACTGCCAGTCTCAGCTTCAGCTTTGCTTTCGCAAGCCAGCCACCGTTCAGGAGGTAATGAAACTCTGCAGCTCTATGTTCCAGTGTTAGAATAGTAACACCTGCCAATTTGGCAAATTTGCGTTATCCTCAATATGTTATCTCAAACCGTTCACCTCTCAAACCTCAAACGGATAAACAATTTCTGTAAATTATATCAGGCAAAGCCTAATATTTTTTTTATTTGAGTGTAATTATAGAATGAAAATCCTTCCTTGAGTCGTTTCAAATCCACCCAAACACCAAATACCAGTCCTGAGAATATTTCCCTCGATCCCACACTGACATGCAGCTATGAATGCATCACAACTTGCAGCGGAAGATTTAAACTCCTCATTGTCTGAGTGACTCCCAAATGCAAGATCAGCAGCGGAGGAGAAATGCCTCTGCAGGCATATTAGATACTGAAGAGACACTTCAGCTTCAGTGGGACATTGTCAATGCACACAAAACAACACCCAAAAGACAGTGTGTGCTCATTAGAACATGGGTTATGTTGAAGGATCAAGGAGCTGCAGGGAAATGACACATCGGAGGCCAACCCAATGCTGATTTACATTTAGAATGATTAATGTGTAATTTACATAAAAGTTGTCGACTACTCTCTGTCATTGTTTGCTCTATGCGATAGTACTTTGGCAAGCAGTGAAGTGTGTTTTATGCTTCCAGCAGAGGGAAACAGGAGTTTGCAATAAAACATTATGGTTGGAGCAGCACTGCTGCAGACACAGAAACAGGCCACGTGTCTAATTACATTTAGAAATAAAACCTCCCTGCAAGGAAAACACAATGAATGTCATGCTGCACGTTTGTAACAGCTAAATAAAAACAGGTAAAGGACTCTAATGTGCGACTAAAAGGTAAGCTAAAAGCAAAGTTCACTGTGTAGCTGGTCAAAAACAGGGTTTGGCAACAAGCAGGACAGAGAAGAAGATCAAAACAAGGGAAGGCAGTCTTGCTAGAAGTCTTAAAATACAGGCAAAGAATAACAACAAGAAAGGCAGACAGAAGAATGCTGAAACACTGAGGCTGGGTCGCACAGCAGACAATCTGGCAGGGAAGTGAGGCGCTGATGAGAGGAGTCGGGAGCAGGTGCACAGCTGGCTGTGGAGGTCAGGTGATGATAAGGAGCGGGAAAAGCTAAGGGCCACTGCCGGGTAGAGCTGGAGCAGGGAGGGAATTTCTGATGTCGACGTCCCTGCTTACACCATCTCAGCTTTCCCTGCTGCTGGTTCTGAGCCTGTTCATTCCTTAATGCTTCCCCTCCCTCCTCCAGCGCTTCAAACAATCAACGTTTGGATGGGCAGGCTTCCCCCAATGTCATTATGCACAGTCAGGGAACTTGTAATCTCCCGCTAACTGCTTGCAAGGAGATGAGGGAACAACAAAGATCCATTAATTAGCGGGGCTAAATGGTATTCCTAGCTGGAGGGATGTCTCGATGAGAGAGGGAAAGAGAGAGAGAGAGGGGGAATAAACAAAAATGAAAACAAAATGGATGTCTGAGTCCCTCCGGCTTTCGGTAAAAGCGGGTGAAAAGGACACAGGAGGAATAAAATCGTTGCCACAAAGGCCAATCTGCTGCTTAGCATTTCAATTTACCTCCAAATGATGTTAAAATTCAAACAAACGGCATTTGATTTAGCAGCTCAAATGCAACATCTACCATTTACAATTCAATACTCCCACTGTGAGACAAATCTATGAGAGACTAAGCTGCAATAAAGTCACTTAGTATCGCCAGATCAACCCTCCAAATACTTTTCCTTCACAATGACGCTGGGAGGATCATGCAAGTTTAGCACTTCAACACCAACACCCCCTTTTGGACTATTTGTCATAAAAGTGCTCTTTGCAGGTCAACAGGTGTTTAGTCTTTGTCCAAAACTGTTTTGTAGTAAAACTCCAAGACAGAATTGATTATTAGTCAAAGCATTAATTGAATCGAGTCAATTCTCTCTCCTGTAGCTGGTCTTAGCATCATGTGACGAGCATCAAGCTCTCTGAGTGTTGAGAAAGGAATTTCCTCAGCGAGTGGATCCAGTAAAAGGCCAGTCTCTTTTCTTTGGAAAAAGATCCGTTGACGTGCTGCACTTTGCAATGTTCCCAATATCACCAGAAGATAAACACATTCCTTCACAGGCACACACATACATTAGCAAAGCAGGATTTAACCGTCGTGAATGTTTGTTTCCATTTTCTAAAGGGCTAATATCTTAAATGAGGATGCTAATGGTTGCAATTTGTGTCTCAGAGATCATTCAAATCAACTTTTCACATGATGTCGACATTGTGGACTATACGAAAGAAGACAGATGTAATGTATGCATGGAGTCGGAAGGTCCACCTACCTTTCCTGTGGTGCTGAGTGGCTGCCAGGTACATGGACAGGTAAGCAATGATGAGCAGAGCCCACCACTGTGTCATGTTGATCCTCACACACAGATCTACACACACACACACACTTCTACCCGTCTTGCTCTGTCTCTCTCAGGGGATGAACATCACAACGGTGGATGAAAATTTTTGTTTTTGTTGCCACCTCCCTCCATCCATCCTCTCGCCCTCTTTTTTTCTGTGTGTGTGTGTGTGTGTGTGTGTGTTCTCCGCTCACGCCTGGCTGTCTGGGCTCTCATCTGGAAATCATCAGGATTTCTTGGCTGGACTTTTCTCACAGCTATGACCACGGTTCAGTTACTGTGTGACTCTCCATTTGACTGGATAAGGAGGAGACTGACTAACTGGATGAGCAGCTGACTGACTGACTTGCCAGTGATTGACTGAACATGTTGGCATCCCGTGAGCCAGAACCAAACCAGAGCTAGTACAAGAGACTAGCTCGATCAAGCATGCCAAACAGCTTAATAATAGGTCATTCTGTTTCTTACAACATAGGTCTTATTTTCATTGTACTGACCATCAGTTCGGATAACATTGTGCACACCAAGATAACTGCAACAGAGTCAGACAGAACAAGAAATGTCAGGGGATTTGACAGATTGGAAACAAGCCGAGAGTTTGACAGATCTACCTTTGTGAGTTTGGCTCACATGGATCTTTTGTAAGGGATGATCATTCGGTTTGTCCACCACTTTGGTCCAGACTAAAATATTTCTGCAATTATTGGATGAGAAGTCAGAACGTTTTGTACAGAGATTCATGGTCCCCAGAGGAATCCTACTGAATCCTATTGACTTTGATGATCCCTAGACAGATCCTCTAGCGCCACCATGAGGTTGATATTTGTGGTTTTGAGTGAAATGTCCCAACAACTTGAATGGATTGTAATGAATTGGTGCACGTGTGCTCCCCCGTATGATGAATTGGAATAACTTTGGTTATCTGAGTTTCATCAGTTTCTGAGTTTTGGCTTTAAAGCCAAACATGGCACTGACTTGAGTATATATGCCTTGAAGGAAATTGTCAACAAATACAGAGGTCAAAACTCATCAGTTTTGATGTGTTTCATTGATGCCTCCAAAGCTTTTGATCGTGTTAATCATAGTAAGCTATTATTTAAACTGAGCCAGAGAGGTGTCCCCACATACATTGTGAGAATTCTGCCTTACTGTAAAATGGGGTAAAAGTGTCTCAGCCCCATTTGGGGTTAGCAATGGTGTCCGACAAGGGGGAATTTTGTCCCCAATTCTGTTTAATCTGTATATTGATGATCTGTCCAAACAATTGAAAGCCTGTAATACTGGGTGCATGATTGGAAACACTCTGATTAATCATATCATGTATGCAGATGATCTGGTGATCTTTAGTCCATCTAGCGCTGGTCTTCAGCAGCTCCTCACTATATGTACTGTGTATGGTGTGGAACATGACATCAAATACAATGCCAGTAAGAGTGCTATCCTGATCTGTCGAACTAAAGAGGACAAATGTCTAAACTTCCCTGACTTCAAATTGTCTGACAATAATCTTGGTGTCTGTGGTGAAGTAAAATACCTTGGTCATTTTATAACAGAACACATGACCGATGATAACGACATTTCCAGGCAATGTCGTATGATGTATGCACAAGCAAACAGTCTCTCACGCAAGTTTGGTATGTGTACAGATGGAGTGAAGATGTCTCTGTTCAGAGCATATTGTACACCACTCTACACTGCACACTTGTGGTCAAACTACAAAAAAAGAGCTTACAGAGACTTAATGACTCTAAAAATGAGATCATAGTTGTTTTAACCAACATAAGGTTGAGCACCACATGCTACCAGTCCCAGCTGTGGCGACATTGGTACAGCTGTCTCTTTGTAAGGCATTGCTAGGCCTCCGTACTTTTATTGTTTGTGTCTGTCTTTTTATGTATTTGTCTCTATGGACCCTGAGTCTGAAATAAAGTATATCTATCCATCCATCTATCTATCATCCTTCAAATTTGTCCAATACTTTCTTCATGAGCAAATATTTAAAATATCAGATATTAGCATGCTAACACACTACACATGGTAAACATTATATCTGCGCAACGCATAGACTGTCTTTAAGAAGTTAATATAGTCACCACGATGTCACCCATTGGTTTGTGGACCGTGGTTTTAAAGCCTTGAGTTTGCCATTTTGGCCGGCGCCATCTTGGTTATTGGGAACCAGAAATGACACGAGAAGGTGGAACTATGTATAGCTGTACGCCGAAGTGTTAAAGGTCTAAGATGAAAACACGGACAACTCCCAGACAGGACAACGCCGGGGTAGCGACCTGTCAATCACAAGGTAGCCCTGCCCTAAAGCATCCCCTGCTTTATGGTCTGTTTGACTCTAAATGGACCATAAGTTACTAAATGAACATCATGCTGTATTGAAAAAGACTTGAAAGAGACTGAGACCATAAACTCATGTTTACAATGTTTACTGAGGTAATAAATCAAGTGAGAAGTAGAGTCATTTTCTCATAGACTTCTATACAACAAGAGGAGTCGCCCCCTGGTGGTCATTAGAAATAATTTGAAGACCTGGAGGTTGCCGCCTGTCTAAACATACAAAGCATTACCATACAATGTTATGATAAAACAGTCAAGATCTTTGATTGGTGTATTTTAGAAATCAAACAGGATTTACGTACGACTGTGGCTCAGTGGTAGAGCAGGGTCTTCCTTCAATCACTTTACCCCAATTTGTGCCAACAGACTGTTACTGCGGTGTATGAATGGGTATGAATGGGTATGAATGTTAGTTAGAGTCCTGATGGACAGGTGGCCCCTTGCATGGTAGCCAGTGCCATCAATGTATGAATGGGTGTGAATGGGTGAATGATTACATGTGGAGTTAAAGCGCTTTCAGTGGTCGGAAAACTAGAAAAGCGCTACACAAGTAGAAGTCCATTTACCGTCCAAGGCGTAATATTTTTTGTTTCCACTTTAATGTATTCTGTTGAAAATGGAAATCATCTTTTATTTTTATGTATTTTGGTTCAAATTCAAGGTTAATTAACTGAAATTCTGCACTGCAAAGAACAAAGTCCTGACTTAAAAGGCCCTTTTGCTGGTAAGACCGTGCAGCAACCAGACGACGATGGAACCCAGACTGAGGCAGACGGAGACAAACAACCACGTGTCAACAAGTCAACACCAACCACGACATGAGGACCACTCAAAGCATCTTGATTCAAGACTGTCAAGACTCTTTCCCTGTATTTACGCTCTCTCCTCCACAGTCTTCTGCTCTTTGTTGTCACAGAATATGTGCAGTAAACATACAGTCCCTATTCTAGCGCCAAAGCACACAATAGACTGTGTAGGTGCCCTGGATTTCAGATGGTTTGCCATGTTGTCTCAGCCTCTAAGGCTGCATCTGCTAATATAAAATACAGATACTATGCCAGTAATGGCCTCCTGTGAAAGACAAGCACTTACGCCCAATCAGTAGATCAGAGAGCAATGATTAATTATTCAAATAGAGGCTGCAGATATAAAACTTAAATATTTATTCTGACAATGTAACGCAGATAAGAGCACACTATTCTTTATCAACGCTGTGCTGTTATGCACAGTGAAGTTTTGTACCGGTGTGCTTCCGCTTATGAATTGAATCATATGGCACTACATGTCTTCAACTAAATATTCCTTGTTGAGAAAAGAATCAGCAGTTGAAGCCACAAAAACGCAATCATAAATGGCAGAGTGGTGCTCATGCTCCCATTTCATTTCAGTGGCGATAAAAACACTGAGTGTACACGTGGGAGCCATAACCCCGTTTATCTGGGTACTTTTAAAGCGGTTCGATGTCTCTGTGTGGAAAGAAAAGTCAACAATTCGGGATGCTCCATTTCAATGCTCCAAAAAACATGATGGTGGTAAATAAAGTGAGGAGCAGGGGCGGAGGAATTTCACACCGCAACACAACGTCCCTTGCCTGCTTGATGAGGAGACATAAAACACTGTCTTGTTAATCTAGTGGCATTCAAAGGTTTGATTAATCTTCACAGTGCCGGATGACTTTAAGTGATGTAATTTTGCTCTCGTGCCGCCATATGTTTGATTGAATATTTGCTCGCAGCAGATGTGAAACCAAGGCAAGAGGTGCACTTTTTTAAACATTTTTTAAGCCTGCAGAACATAAAACACATTCACATGGATGAGGAAGCTGGAAAAAACGCCTGAGTGCACAAGCTGTATCTCTGCATGTGATTCACATGACTAACCAACAAGGCGAAGGCAGATGGTATTCTGTGGGGCAAAACAAAAGCCCAAAAAATGGCCTCTGCTGCAGCTCACGTCTTCTGCTTGCCTGCGGGTGCGTGGCAAGAAAAATGCTTCTGACCCTTGAGTGTTTGGGGTCATAAACACACAAACACTCCACACATGACGCACGGTGGAAACCTTCTTTGGTTATGACCATGAGGGGGCAGTGTTATGACACACATCCTGAGAGATCCCAAATTTGTCCAGCATCCTGCAGGATGAGTTGCTGCTGCTCCCCAACTCTTTTGGTGATGCTGCATGAATTCAGAAATAATTGAATTCTATTCAGATAAGGTCTGACAATATGAATGCAGCCACTTAACAGAGATCAAAGGGTTGTTTGGGTTCAACCCAGGTGGGGACCCTTGAGACATCCTTTAGTTTAATTGCTTCCGTGCTATAAATTCCTGGAATGCCTTAAATATGCAAATTGATACAAGGTCAGTGTAGAGCTGATCTGGCACGAGGCTTGTTTAATAGTCAAATTGCCATCATACAATGCTGTGTGTCCAGGTAATAATAGGTAAACAGCAGAACCTGTGCAAATATAGAAGATGCTGAGATTTGCAGTGCTAAGATGTTTTTTTTTCCAGCCCAGGGACTGTGACTCGTGGGCAATGTTTTGAGTAATGGCTCAAAGTTAAGCCCATATTCTAATACATCGAATACTGTTTCTGAAAGATTACAGGAACTGAAGCCTGGAGGCCACAGCAGGAGACGGCATGTACTGGATGTAAAACACACTACCATCCTGGAGAACAGCCTCCAGCTATATTAACTGCGTAGTATGTACATTGCTGCCATATTGCGGTTCACTTCTGATGTGTTCACAGTCTGTGCAGAAACCAAGCCGAAGCCTTCAAGAGGTTATGAGTAAGAATTTTTAATTATT